TTCTTCTTGTTTACTACTGGTGGTTGGCTTTGGTCGCAGTACCGCCACCTTCTGCTCTGGAGTGTAAACGCTTTGCCTATGAGAAAAAGGAGCAGCGCATGAACCGAACGCAACACACGCGAACCGAACCGAGACAGTTGAACCAAACGGTTCGAACGGTTTTCATAAACCGTTCCATCCCTACGTCACAGGCAAGCGTTCTCTGTATTAATGGAAGTAAACATGGATGGTAGTGCCGGAGTGCATCTAGCCATCTTTACAAACCTTAAAAACTCAATCTTTCCAAGACGGTTGAACATAAATACTGCTCTCTGCATCGTCGCCCGCCATGATTGTTGTTTTTCTTGCCTCTTCTTCGCAGAATAGTGACCTTTGTCGGGTATTAATGGCCTTCAGGTCGGATGAATGCGACCTGGCCGTTCAGACATTAGGTCGCATTTGAAAAGATTAGATTCGTATCGGATTCAGGACCACATGGCCATGTGGCCTGAGTCGCATTGGAAAATATCGGATCTGTGTTGTTCAGACATTAACGAAAAGATCAGATCCAGGTTTCATTTGGGCCAAAAAGTCGGATTTGGGTCACTTCAGGCTGCAGTGTTAACGTAGCCTAAGAGACTGGAGGATTTTCCTAGTGTCTCAGTGTCTTAACCCTATCCCAAAAGAAAATAAAAATGAATTAAACTCAAAAAACAAGCTTTTCTGAAGCAAAGGCACCTCATGCTCTGAAATCTTCAATGCAAACAGTAACAAATAGCTGGTTAAATAAGAAAAAGAGTCTTTTTACTTATTTTATATCATGTAATTAGTTTAGAAAATCAGACCATTTTCTTTTTTTTAATTTTTTTTTTTACAGGTGAATGCAAAATGTTCCCATACATTACCAGCATAATAATCAGCTTTTTGCTTTTAGTAAAAGATACAGGAGGATTTTTGTGAATTTCTAATAAGACCCGCCCTCCTCACTTAAAAAAGAAAAAAAAATAATGCACATGCACAGCCCTGTACCTGCTCTCCTGGTGCACGCTCTGTTTAAAAGTTGCTGTTTGTATCGCTCATACAAACATACTTTCCAATAGAAGATTTGCAATTTTTCCTTTGTCAGACTCGCCACCGGTGAGTGAAAATGGGGACGAGCACGTAGGACGGTCTTACGTAAACATATCACCAGGATGATTGACAGTTAGGGGGACCACTTATTTTGATGATCCACCTGGAAAAAGAACATCCTCCACTGTACCTTTATTTCGCTTGAATTTGGCTTGACGAAAGGTTATAGCCACAACTTTTTCATCAAAATAATTATTTAAAAGAAAATTGATGCAACAGAACATAGAATGGTGCAGGATAAAAGTATAATTTTACTGAAGAAGAAAAATACAGCATATAAATAATTTTTATACATTTCTACGACAGCAGAAATCATGAACATTACTCACATATGCATGAATCAAGTGAAATACCCCTTAGTCAAAAGATTGTTTAAAGAAAAATCATAAGAAAGTTGTTAAAAGTTTTTTAAAAAGTTTAAAATTTGGACTCTGGATGGTGTAGGACCTGTGTTTTCATGTACATTATGTATCCTGATGCCAAAATAAGTGCAGGAATGTTCATAAAACAGATAAAAAAAACCCACTGATGTTTCTGTTGCAGACGTTACGTTGAACTTTGGTAAAGTCACTATGAACTCAAGGGAAAAAATGATTAAAAACAAAACTAAATTGTATTTCTTCAATGCAGAGCTTATTTTTTTTTCTCCCTCTCTCCTGTACCACATCCAAAAGTTCAGGCTACATGCTTAAAATTTTTCATTTTCTTTTTCCTTTGGGTTCATTTTCCGCTTTGGTAATTTATTTTTACCCTTGCAGATGCTTTGGAAATGAAGAAACGCCACAGCGAACTCCACTGATTCCTGGAACAGTTTCCTGCAGCCAAATGTGCCTCTAGCAGCCTCATTAACTCATTATGACTTTCTCAGCAAAAAATAAGAAATTACAGTGGAGACGTTGAACATGCATCTTTTTTATAGATTGAAGCAACACTGTATCTTTAAGCCACTAGGGGTGCTAGATCTGTAACAACTTCTAGGTGAAACCCCTTAAAAGGGATGGACAGCACTTCACTGTTGCAAAATTACTGACTGTGTCAGTAATTCCCCGCCCATTTTTTTTCTCTATCACCCCTAAAACAAGTCACTATGTCACTACCCGATCCGTACCGGAAGGACGATCCGTTCCATCAGCTAATTTGCACATGTGCTAAAAGTACTTATTTTTTTTATCCTTAAATCACTATAAGAATGCTAAAACAAATCATAACTTTTTTTGTTTTTTTTTACATTGTTAAACTGCATTATCAGAAATGTTTATCTTTTATTTTTGTTTTTTCTTTCCTTAGATTATGCACTATATACCATGATGTTAACAAGAAAGGAAAGAATAAAGCTTCAAAAGACCAAAAAAAAAAAAAAAAGTTTTATTTTTAAATCAAAAGCCGAAAAAGCTTGCT